ATTGGCCTTGAATTCACAGTGATCTTTCTGCCTCAGCCTCCCGGGTACCAGGCTGCAGGTGGGCACCACCGCATTCAGCTCTGTTGTTTTATGAACTCTAATACTTTTGCAGAAATCTAAGACACACATCTGGATTTTTTTTTTTTTTTTTTTTTTGGTACCAGGAATCAAACTCATGCTTGCCAGGCAGATGCTTATGCTGCTGAGCTAAACCCCAGCCCCCTGAAGTAATTTTTAAAAAGTCCCTCAAGTAGAACTACTAACTTGTGGGAAGTTTGGGAGCATTGGATTTTTTTTCTCATGGTGCTTGACAGGGTGGCGGTGGGGACGCCACATGGACACATTTCAGTACAGGTGACAGAGCTGGCCAGATCTGGCCTAGGAACCTTCACAGTTTGTTGCAGTTACTGTTGGTGGGTAACAAAGTGTCCTACCCCCAGAGGCTGGGTCTCTGTGTGACAATGTAGTTGCATCCAGCAGTGGCTGCTGTCTAACAATGTATTGTACACCCAGCAGCTGGGTGGCTGGGTGACAGGAGCAGCTGGCAACACCCACTTTACCACTTGCACAGACTGTCAAGTCTGGGATCGGGATGAGGCAGTGAGGAGGCTCCAGGACCACTGCTGGGGTCATCGCAGCTGGGAGGGTCCAGCCAGCAGGGCCTGCGGTCCTGAGACTTCATCAGTCAGTGGCTGGAGGAGGAAGTGCAGCCCCTGGCAGAACCTGGTGGGGTGAATCCTTCGGGCGGGCTCCTCGCAGCACTGAGGCTCCCTGCATGGAGACCCAAGTGACCGTTTTCAGAGACCGTTTTCATGATGGCGTGAGACCATCATGTTTGACATTCTACTGCACAAGTTTCAAGCAGGCCTGGATTCAAGGGTGGGAAACACTGACCCTCTCTCTGTCTCTGCGACTCCCAGGTACTGGAGACTGAACCCGGGGGCTTTGCACTGAGCTCCACCCTCAGACCTTTCTTTTTATTTTTTACTTTGAGGCAGAGTATTAACTAGGTTGCCCAGGCTGGGCTTCAATTTGAGTTCCTCCTGCCTCAGCCTCCCAGAGTGCTGGGATTACAGGTGCACACCACCGCACCTGGCTACACCCTTTCTTGATGGGAGAGAGGCAGCCAAGGTCACCCTACAGGACATGATGGCGAACCTTTCAGGGCTTTTAACGGACAGCTAGCTGCATGCTTTTGCTGTAGGTCCGCCAGCAGTGTTGCAGAGGTCCCTCCCGTCCCAGGGAAGGCGCCTCGCCTCACCTCCGGGCGGCACCAAGAACGGTGAAGGGAGCACTAGGCGACACTCATAGGCCATAGGCCGGGGCCACTGATGCAGGCCGGCGTGGGTGTGGCTTGTGACTAGGCACCTCGGGCTGGGTTGGAATGTGGTTTGGAATCCAGTCTCTCAAGCAGGCAAGCAAGCAGGCAGCCACCGGGCGCAGGAAGCAGCCTGCCCGCTGCGACACCCTGGGAGAGACAGACGCTGGGGTGAAGGCCGCGCACTCAGCGAAGGACGACAAAGGTCGGTTCTCAAAGGGCTCCTGGATACAAAACTGGCTGGAAGCCGGGCGAGGGGCTGCGGTGCAGTGTTTTCTCCACCAGACGGCACAGCGCGCAGCGGTCAGCAGAGGGCGCTGGAGAGGAGCTGCGAGAGGCGCCCGGGTCAGCGCACAGCGGGTGCAGGTGACGCAGCAGCGGCCGCAGACTACGCAGCGTCGGGCCGGGTCCAGGGCGGAGGTCTTCTTTCGTGTGCGACACCGGAGAGTCACACCCCAGCGCTGGGTCGCTGCTCAGGCTCCCTGGGCCACTCGCGCGGTCCCTGCACTCGCGGGCCGCGCGCACCTGAGGACCCATTTTTAGCTTGTACTTTTCTAGTGCGTGTTCGCGGTACAGAACACAGAAGCACTGCATGGAGGTGGCGGTCCACGCACACATGCCTCAGTTCTGTTCTGGTCACCACCGTTCGGTGACTACTGAGCAGCCTGGTGCAGTCCTTGTCCCAGAACAGAACAGAACAATCCAAGGCTGGGCGTGATGGTGCATGCCTGAAATCCCAGCACCAGAGGCTGAGACAGGAGGTTGGCACAAATTCAAGGCCAGTTTGGAATACTAAGGGAGACCCTGTCTCAACAAACAAAAAATAAAGTAGATAAAAAATATTACTGCATAAAATAACAACCTTAGTTCTGTGCCTACCACCTTGTTTTGAAGGCCCATAGCGTTATTATTTTGGGCTCTTTGCTATTGTTATTTTTCTTTTTGGTTTGTTTTTCTAGTAATCTGCTTTGTTGTTTTTTTCTAATACAGAAAGAATAGGTATACACTTGTAGAGGCTTATACACGCCTAGAGCTTCTAAACAGTTTACAGAATCGATTGTGTGATGAAACAATTTCCTGTTGTCTTGCTTTGAAATCCTGCGTTACATTGTTTTCGTCTGATCTGCTTTGTTCTGTTTAACCCTCTTTAAAATAAAAAAAAATTAAAATACAAAAATAAAAAAGGATTGGGGCATAGGCCAGCGTGAAGTCATGAGTTCAATCTCCAGGCAGGACCAAAACCAAAACCTGAATCAAAAGATGTGAATGGGGAAACTGCTCAGGAAGTGGGGGTTATGGGAACTTTGTGTGCTTAGCATCATTGTTCTGTAAACCTAAAGCTCCTCTAAAAAACAAACTATATTGGCTGGGGATGGATACAGCTCAGTGGCATAGCACCACCTGTCTGGCAAGCGCAAGGTCATGAGTTCGATTCCCAACACTGAAAATAACTAAATAAACTATTAAAACATTCCTATTAATGTCTGCAATAATAAATCTGCTTGCTATGGGGGAACTGGTAGATATACATATAGTATATTTTTACTATGAGACAGGCTGATTAAGTTACTCAGATTGGGTTCAAACTTTTGATCTTCCTGCCTCAGCTTCCCAGACTGCTGTGATTACAGGTGTGCACCACACACCTGGCTAAACTGTGTTTTAAAATGTCACTGATGGGGTGGGAGAAAGAAGGGGACATAAAAACTAAGATATATACATGTGCCAGCTATCCGAGGGAGAGTTTAGAACCACACACTGCAAATACTGTAGTAACTATTAAAAAAGTTTAATTAAAATCTGGGCATGGAGTTGCACATCTGCAACCAGCACACAGGAGGCTGAGGCGGGGTTGCTGAGAGTTCGAGGCCAGCCTGAACTGCACAGTGAGACCCTGTCTCAAAAAACAGAAGCCAAAATCGAAGTGCACCTCCCAGGAGGCTACCAGCTCCTAGCACTGCTGGCAGGAGTGGAAAGTCGAGCCGAGCTGGGTGCTGCAGCCAGGCCGGCACTGTGCTGTGGGCCAACCTCTCCTAGTGCAGGCTGGTTCCCACCTGTTTACTGTCTGCCCCGATTTTTTTTTTTAGGTGGTGCCAGATTGACCTCAACACTTGCACAAGCTGTAGCCCCTTTCAGTTCACAGTTTGGGACTAACTTGCTTCAACTTAGGATCCTCCTGACTCAGCCTCCCACAGTGCTAGGGTTGTAGGTAGGCACCACCATTGCCAGCTTCTTTTTAAAACACAGTATATGTATTTTCCTGAGATGTTGAGGAGCTTATCTGGTACAAGTGAAGTATACATATGAAAGATGTGCTATTTCAAGCACTCCTCATGACTTTCTGTATCTGCCGTAGCAGACTATTCTTGGCGATTCTCCCTAAAATATCCTAAATCAAGCCCCCTGAATGTACATATGTGTGGTCCAGATCTCACGAGTTCTTCCACTGGGGAAGACCCTGTCTCATAACAGCAAATTAAGGAAGACCCTGGGGCCTTACCCTCCTCGCAGCCCAGGGCCTCATCGAGCTCCGTGACCTTGGGGTGTGGAGGAGGTCCCTACAGCTGCAGCTCACACAGCCTGACAGAGGTCTCCTGGCATGGACTTGGCATTACTAAGGTGAACGCCACCGTCTCACTGAGCTGCGTCCTCAGCCCTTTTCATTTGGGACAGGGTCTCACTAAGTCACTAAGTTGCAGAGGCTGGGGTCAAACTTGCAACCCAATCTTCCTGCCTCAGCCTCCCCAGTGCTGGGATCACAGGTGTGCACCACCACGCCTGTGGAAATCAGCTGTGATGTGCCGATCTGAGCCAGAATTTACCTAAGTGAAGACAAATCAGAGTAACCGTCCATTCTTCACTGTATGACAGCACAAACCTGTTAGAACCCTACCGTGCTGGTATGAACACATAGTTTCAGTCATCATTAAGCTTTTATTTATTTTTTAGCAGTGCTGGAGCCTCTCCTGGAGCCTTCTCAGGGCCTTTTCCCAGAGCGACTCCTCTACTCAGTTCCTATTTTTTAAAGGGTCTCGTTAACTTGTGCAGGAGAGCTCACACCCGTGGTCCTCCTGCCTCAGCCTTCTGGGTCAGCCGCTCTGTCCTGAGTAGTTCACAACATGGCTTTCTCCAGCCCTGGTCTGGCATGAGGCTATTTGCGCTGCACGATGGGTACACGGGGAGGCTTGAGTTGCCTGCACTTGCTCCATTCCAAGGTACCAAAGAGCCAGAGCTGGGCACATGGGTTGGGTGCTAGCCCTCAACTCCCTCGGAGTCAGGAATCGGGCGGATGGCCGGTAGAGGAGCAGCCACTCAAGGCAGCGATGCTGTGGGCTGCAGAGGCCAAGGGCTCCTGCCCCACAATGAGCCTGGCCCGAGGCTCCTGCAGCTGGCAGCTCAGCCACAGCACTCTGGGCCGGCCACCCCTCAGAGCAGGCCGCAGGGCGCAGACCTAGCACGCGTCTCCGGGTGCAGAGCAGGGGGACCAAGTGCAGGGGTCCCCGCGTGCCCACTGGCCCTCGACTCCTGCAGCTGTTGGGAGCAGGGTCAGCCCCGAAGAAGCTGACACTGGAGATGGAGTCCCATCCTCGGGAGGCGGGAGCCAAGGTGGCTTCCGCAGCTCTGCTCTCCTGGGTCCTCTGGGCTTGGGACACAGCTGCTGGACTAACTGCACACAGCTGCGTAGTTTCTGGTCTTTATTTTAAAACTTTCTGTACACCGTCCAGCCCTCCTCAGGAGGGGGTTATCAGGAGCCGTGAAGCTCCCAAGGGCCCCTGCCTGTGCTGCGGTCACCATGCGCCCAGCCGCAGGCCCTCAGTGCCACTTCGGAGGGGTCAGGTGATGAGGATGGTGACGACAGTCCCGCAAGGAGCTCACAGTCTAATGGTAACTACTGAGTAAACTGAGGCACAGTGGTAAATGACTTACCGCTGAGGTAGAGCAGAGGCATAGGAGCGGGGACGGGCAATGGGGGCGCAGAGGCTGATGGGAAGGCCACCAAGGCGCGACACTGCTGCCCGCAGGAGCACGGGCCAGGCTCCTGTCACCGTGCCCGGCTGGCCTGGCCAGCTGTGCTCCAAGTGCTTCTCTCCTGGCCCCAGGTGGCGTCCGCCCCCCACCCAGGGCGCATGCGGACAAGCCGTGCCCGCCCTCCCCGAAGTCTAATAAATTAAAGCGGCGAGGCCACAGCGCTGCTGCCACCACCTTGGGATGCTAACACGATTCAGGGACATGCAGACTCCTGTGGACAGGGACCAGCACCGCAGGTCTGGGGCGATTGCTAAAGCAACCTCCTCTGTTCGGAGCTGCCTTTCCCAGGGCAGATTCGCAGATGCCACCCTGCTGGGGTCGACACTCCGTTTCAACGCCGCCCTTGGCTCAGCTGCAGGCCTCCAGCGTCTCCTCAGGCTGCATATCGGGCTCCTCTACGGGTAGGGACAGTGGGGTGACATATGTGCCTGCAGCGGGAGGCCCACTTTCCTCATGCCAGAGGCCCTGCTGGCAGTGCCACCAAGAGACACCAGGCAGGGCCTGATGCCTCCTGGTCTCCCCACCTCCCTCCCTCCTTCCCTCCCTCCGCAGTCACCTTTCTTGGGGTGCTTGGGGCATGCTCCAGCACCTGGGCAGCTCTGCTCCACCTCACACAGGTACACGTCGATGGGCCCCTTGGTGCTGCGGATGTGCACAGTGATGGCATCCTGGCAGGGACACAGTGGGGCAGCGTCAGTTGGGCCCAATGGGATGGGGATGGGGACTGTGCTGGAGGAGGAAGCCAGCACCCTGCACGCAGGCCTTGTCTGGGGAAGCCCAGAGAGGCCAGGTACACGGGGTGCACACGCGAAGCCCTGGATCTTCCTTGACACTGCTCCCAGGACAAAGCCTGAGGGAGGCCAGGTGCCCAGGAGCAGCTCTCATTATGGCTCCTGCGTCCTGGGTCACCCTGCCCAGGTCCAACCTCTCCCAGCAATCTGGCTAGGCTGGACTGCAGATACCATCATCCCCATGTCACCCTGACAGGGCACCACACGCCTGTCATCTCAGTCCTACAGAGGCTGAATCAGGCCTGCCCGGGCAACTTAACAACACTCTGTCTCAAAATAAAACTCCCAAGGGGCTTGGGACACAGTTCAGTAGCGTGGAGCTTGCCTCATGTGTGCAAAACCCTGAGTTTAATCCTTAGTACTCCAGGAAAGTAAGGTAACTGAAGAGCTGACACCTAAGGGTCCCCAATGCACTCATCACCTTTGCTGCACCCCTAATCCAGGTAGGGACAGGAGAGCTCCACTATGGACAGCCCTAGGGCCTGTCCAAAGGGGACACTGTGCCTGCCAACCACTGCTGAGCGCTGCAGAGCAGCAAAGCCTGGAATGGCCTCATCCACCCGCTCCCCGAGAGGCCTCAGGACACTGACCTCTCTGAAGCCAGTGTACCCTGCCTCACCGGAGCTGCAGCACCAGGATCCTTGCAGACACCCACACACCCTGGGCTCCCAGTCATTCCCCAGGACACGTGGGGTCACTCACCTCTCGGGGTGACGGGACGTCCAGCCTGGTCTCCTCTGGGGCCTTTACCGCAATGACGATCTGTTCGTGGAAGGCCCGGATGCTGTGGATGTCCTGGTACGTGACGTAGGCCAGCGTGAGTCCAGTCAAGGGTCTAAGCGGGCTGGGGCGTGGGTGTAAACAATCTCCTCAGAGGAGCTCTCACACCTGTGCACACCCTGCTGTGGCTGTGATGATTTCTGGAGAAAAGTGTTCCCAGAGTCCAAGTCACCACACACACTTGGGGAGACATTGGCTGCCCCATCTGGGGCCATGCATGTAGCCCAGAGCTCCACCCCACACATGGCTGGGCAGCTGTGCCCAGTGCACCTCTGCCGGGTCAGTGAGAGCCTGCCCTGGAGCTCCAGAATATGCCTGCAGTTCTGACAGACCTGCCATCTCCCTAATCCCCAAAAGGAGGCAAACGCAGAGAGAGTCTTTAGGATAGTCCTATAGCCACAGATTCTCCTCCTTAAAATCATCTTCCACCCCAATCTGAACACCTCTCACTCTGTGCTGCTGAATCTCCCTCGGGACCTCATCAGTGTCTTTTAGTGGTTGTGGGGGCTGAACCCAGCCCTTCCTATGTGGAGACTGGGCCTCAAGAAGAAGCAGCTGCCCAGCTGGGCTTTCATTCTTGACCCTCCTGCTCTGGCCTCTGGGGACACGCAGGACTTGTGAGCAGGGACCACTACTGTTCCCTCTGTTTTATGTATACTGTGTCCAGCTGCAGGGGCAAGCACATGGACTTGCGTCTGCTTTCCACTGACTGCATTGTGGGAAGGGCTGCACTGCTGTGGAGGGGACCTGGAACATGGAACAGTGCATTGTTGGTGACAGCCTGGCATGAATACGGTCACTCTGGGTTCTGTCACCTGCACTGAGTCAGCAAGGCTCACCAGCTATGAAGACAGCAGGTGAGGGTGACAGTCAAGGTGAAACGGAAAGCATGCTAGGCACCCACAGCTGCTCGGTTTCTGCACGCTGGAGCAGCTGTTGTTACCTACAGGAAATGGATGTCTTTTCCTTCCGGGGTAAAGGTCAGGGCCCAGGAGAAAGATGGTTAGCACAGGACCAGGCTCTCATGGTCCTGGACACTGGGTCTGGGGCAGGACTGGCCTGAGTCACCAGGGGTGTGGACAGCATCTCAGGTACCACCTTGACGGCAATTCTTACTGCTTCAGAAACAAACTATTTTGAAGAGTGGGGAAGCAATGATTTTCACCAAACCCACAATTATTTCACTGCCTTTATGATCACCGTCTCTACAGTCTGAAGAGCGCAGTGAGCATGCACTTTGCTGTTCTACAGGGAAAGATTGGCCTGGCCTTATGCCTGCTGCGCACAGAACATAACCCCAAGGTGCAGCACAGCGAGTGCCTGCGACTGGACCACAAGACCTTACTTACTCAGAGGCCAGATTTATCCTGTGACTACACAGACTACATTCCCAAGCTGATCCTATAGCTTAATGAGCCGTGGTGCCACACATGTCATCCCAGCACTTGGGAGACTGAGGCAGGAGAATCGCTGAGCTCAAGGCCAGCCTGGGCTACACAGTGAGACCCTGCCTCAGTAAGCAGAGGGACACAGAGATTTAAAGGATATCTTTCATTCTCTTTGTCGTCTGTTAACTCAAACAGCTGCTGAGCGCAGTCCTTGATGAGCTCATCCAAAGCGTCCTCCATGGCGGACAGGTCCGACAGCTCCTGCTGCAGCTGCTTCTGCTGAGGCACCGTGGCAAAGCTGTTCAGGTCGGACCCTCTGTGGGGACAGAAGTGCCCTGAGGCGTGGCCATGCGACATGAGCCGCAGCTGTGCCTAGAGCGGGGCACAGAGCCTCTGCTAAGGTGCTGGGGGCAGTCACCTCTCACACTGGGCATGTTCTTTCCCATTAGAACGCTATAATCACTGCTCTTTCGTTCATTTTTCTTTTGGTTTTTCTGAGACAGGGTCTTGTTATGTAGGTTGGCTTGGAACTCACGAAGCAATTCTGCCTCAGCCTCCTGAGTGCTGGGATGTCAGGCATGTACTGTGACACCTCGCCTGCAGATCCAGTGCACACTAGTGACTCAGAGGGCAATCTGAGAAAACCCAAGGGCACAGGTGCTAGGTGAGACCCACGCTCTCACACAGTTTGGTCTTGGGACATGACCGTGTAGGCTTCCACCTGGCCGGCCCTGCCCTTCTCCACTTACAAATGGAACCACAGAAGACACTTTCTACCTCTATGTCTCCCGTTCAGTTCTGAGAAAGGGGGAAAAAATCAAGTCCTTTGTGGGACAAGGCAAAAAGATCCTTCCTGGCGGGACTCACACCCGACTAACACTGCTAACGCCTGGACTGGAAAGAGTACAGCACTGTCACGTGACGCGCCAGTGACTCACATCCAGCGGATGTGGTTCTTGGATTTCTTCTCCACCAGGGCAATGCCGTCCAGCACGTTGGTGATGTCGTACACCCTGCGCTTCCGCACACCCAGCTTGCTAGCCACCCGGTTTAGGTCCAGGATGCCCCCGGGCGCGGATCTGACAAGATCCATAAACCTCCGAGTTAGATACACTAGCGACACGTCGAAACGCGGTCTCTTCACTTTTAGTGCTTCTGGGAAACAGAATAAACACATTTGTGAAGTGTAAGTCACATCTGCCACTCACGTACATAATCATGCATTTCCCCTGGAGCAGGAGGCCAGGATGTCCAGGAGCGCTCAGTTTAGTGCCGTGCGGCAGACCCCCAGGCCTGCGTCCCGGCACCATGTAGACGCCCTCTGCAGGCCAGGACGTGATATGGTTTGCAAATTAAACTTTGTCCTTGGTCTTTAAGTTAAACCCCACGCATCTTAGGGGAAAAGGGCCTCGCTATTATTTTATATTTCTAGCCCTGTTGCAAGTGGGACCCTGTTGGAGGAAGATTTGTAAAGAACCCAAACCAACCGTCTTGGAGGTGCGGGCACCGATGCAGAAGCCGCCCTCTCACCAGGGAATCCCGACAGGGGGCGCTCTCCTGAGCACGCAGCATGCAGGACGCCCCTCGCCAGGCACTAAGGCTAACTGCGGCGCCTCGGGCGGCACTCCTGATAGGTCAGCAGCTGCTCCGCTGCTCTCAAGAGCTGCGGGCTCAGCAGCATGGGAGTATCTGCAGGCACTCCGCATGCTACCCGGAGCCTGGTTGGTCCTGAGGTAAACCTGAGCAGCTGAGCGCACCTGCTAGGGGATGGTGGAGACGCAGGTGTCAGGTGCACCCGGTACAGCGGCACCCCAATCTGCACCAACACCACCGTTCTCCTCTTTCCCAGGCCTGCACCGTAAATCTACCTCTCGACAGAGCCTAAACATCCCATTTCTCCTCCTTTTCTCTCAAGCATGGCAGGTAGGGGCTTCGGAAAGGCCTGTTACACCCACAGCAGGGGCAGCCTTGGGTAAAGCCCTGCGGTGCCCTAGCACAGAAGCACACATTCTTTGAGGTCAATGCTTCCAGGGAATGTCTGCTCGTTTTTTAAAAAAATTTAGAGACAAGGATTTGCCATGGAGCCTTGGGGCTGCCTTTGAAATCACTATGTAGCCCAGGCTGGCCTCACACTCATAGCGATTCTCCTGCCTTGTTTTCCTGAGTGCTGCGATGACAGGCATGTGCCACCATGCCTGGTTTTGACGTCTGTTCCTGTGCAGAGCTGAACTAGGTGTGTCAGTCTTGAAGTAGAAAATTCCACAACCAACCTTGGAAGTCATCAAATGAGAAATGCTGCCCGCACAGAGCACACCTGGTTACACTGTCACTAACAGGCTCGGGTTATGGGCATTCCCAGGCTGCCACTCTTTTTCACAGTGCACTAGTGTGGGTGCACTACTCACAGCATGCAGGGTGCCCCGGGAAGGGGTCCTGGCACTGACCACCAAGCTGCCGTCAATGCAAGGATGAAGCAGGTGACCTAGCAGGGGGCCCTAGGCACAGGTGGGTTCCCCGCAGCCCTCCTCTAGGAGCTGCCCGACGCCAACACTGATGCCGCACGTCCCACGCGTCACAGCAGGTCAGTGGTGCCATGTGAGCCGGGAGCCCCAGTCCTGGACTCCCCCTCGCTGCTCCCAGCCCCTGCTGCTCGGGGCTCGGCCATACCCAGAAGGTACGGCTCATAGGGTTTCGGGTGACACTTTCTAAAGCAAGGAGGAGAAATTGCCACTTGTGCTCCTCATCCAATCACAAGACTCGCTGCTTAAAGTTCAAACTTTGCAGTTCATTGTAACAGACAAATGGTTACTTTATGCCGATAATCATCGCCTTGTGTGTAATTTAATTTTTAGGTTTATTGGTACATTTAGGCATATATATAAAATTTTCATATGGAATTTGTACCTGTGCATTATATAATTACTATTACTATTTTTGAGATCGATCTTGGTCTTGCTTTTGTACTGGGGACTGAACTCATAACCTTGTGCATGCCAGGCAGGAGCTTGTGCTGCTGAGCTAAATCCCCAGCCCCTTTGAGATTGATTTTGCCATTCAGTTCAGGCTGGCCTCAAATTCGTAGTGATCCTCCTGCCTCAGCCTCCTGAGTGGTAGGATTGTAAGAGTGTGCCCTTACACCTGGCCTGCACGTGGTCTATCTGACTTCCCCCTCCATGCCTTTCCCTTCAACTCCTTTCCCCTCTCATTTACAAAGCTTTGTTTCTATTTTTTCTTCTATTCTTGTTCTTTTTCCTCTCTTCTTTTCCCCTGCCCCATCCCACTTCCCATTTGAACATTTTCTATTTCACAACATCTATTGTACATTTTGGTTCTTATTTACACTAAGTTCTTCACACCAAAGAAACAAGCAGTATTTACATGTGTATCCCATTTATTTTACTTAAGAGTATGGCCTCAAGGTGTGCTCATTTACCTAGAAATATCTTGTTTATCCTTCTTTATGGCTGAGTAGTAGTCCACTGTTTAAAAACCCACATTTTCCGTATCAACCGATGAATGGAAAAGAAGGTGTTTTAATACTCCATGTATATTTCAAATAATTTTAGCAATCTTTCCTTCAAACCATAAAACCTAAAACCCAGTCAGGAATCCACTTACTTCTCATAGACACATACTGTACATTATCTTCTAAATTAATCCTGATCTTCGATGGCTGAAAAAAACAAAAAGGTAAATTTCGCTTAGTAATAGAAGAACAATGCACCTGAACAGTGTTGTCCTCTGTAATGTAAGGGCTTCGGCATGTTCAAGACCAACCAACAGTCAGGGGCACACTGCCATTACCAGGAATATGAAACAGCAGCGTTTCTAACACTGGGAAGCACACAGGGGAAGTGGTGTTCCTGAGACACCGCTTGGCGGGAGAAGCGGAAAGACGTCTTTTCAAGGCCTGAACCACGCAGGGCGGGCAGGACGGGCAGGGCCGGCAGTCCTCCTCACCACTCTGCCGGCTGCTTCACGAGCACTAGTCAGTGTAAGCGGCTGGTATAGAGAATAACGCTGCCCCACGAAGCTAGAAGTAATGGACTCTCACGAATGCCTGGCACCTGTGGCCAGGTGTGCTCGGCGCAGGCTCCGACCTGGTACAGGAGCGCTGCTCAGCACAGGTGGCTCCGCGAGGAGACTCTGAGCAGGTGTCCCCAGCTGGGGTGCAGCCCCTGTCTGAACAGTGAATCACAGGAAGGAGGAGAAGGCAGGATTCCAGTGCGGGAGTGAAGCAAAGGTTTGGGAGTGCAAACCTCCAGGTGTGCCTTTAGCAGCCACCTGCAGCCGCATCAGTGGCTGGGCCTGCAAACAGGGAGGACTATGGCTGGATTTGTCAGGTGATAAGGGGCCGGGTGCACCATCCCCAGCTCTGCAGCAGCTGTGGCAGACGCCAGTGTCTGTAGCAAGTCACCTCCACACAGGACTCAGCGGAGAGCCGCTGGGGGGCCGCGGCCCACTGGCAGTGCTGGCCCTTCAGCAGGGGAGCCCCAAGGAGCCCCATCATGGCTAGAGGGACAGGCAAAAAGCAACTAGGACTACCGCCCACATGTACCCCCTCTCCTAATGGAGTCGGTGGTGAGGGCTGCCTCACACGGCAGGGCTCCCACAAAACCCCAAAAGGCAAACCCTTTAAATGCAGCAGGGGGCTGGTCCGATGGCAGTGGGTTATCAGAACTTATTAACATTAGTGTCACTAAAGTTGGTATACCACCCCCCACTGCTAAATTAGACTGGCTTTTTAAAAAAAATAAAAATAAAAAATAAAATAAAATAAATGCAGCAGGGAAGCCCAGCCACACACGCCACGCTTGGGGTTGCGGTTCCCTCTCCTCCACACAGTGGCTGCTGAGCCGGCAGTGACACCATGGAGGGGCTGGAGTTCTCCCAGCTTTGCTGTCGCTGCAGAGAGGCGGCACCGACATGTGGGAAACAGGCTCCGGCCACATGCCTTCTTTCTCCCCCTTGTGTGATCTCCCCTCTCCCTCTATCTTTGTCTCCTGCTCGCCATAGAATGAAGACGGAGTCCGGCAATGCCTGGCCCCCAGCTACGCCCATGGGACAGCAGGCCACCCTTCGCCCTTGAACCTGCAACTCAAGCCTCAGCGACCCAGTAGTTTCTTTAATGATGAAAGAAAAATAAAACAAAATAAAATACAAGCTGAGCTTTGGGGGCAACCATCTGAAGCACTGCTCCATAGTGTCTAATGCTATGTCCTCGTGGCCTCTTGGTGCCACTGCCAGGTGCAGAGCAGCACTATCCGTAGCCTCCTCCTGCCAGTCTCCGCCCCTCTCCCATGTAAGCTGAACCCCAAAACGCCCACCAATTCCATCTTCTGCCCGCTCAAGACCTTGGCCAATGTGCTGGGCAGCTTCCAGGAAACTGTGGGATCCGCACCTGACCTCTGCATACCAGCAGCTTATTAAAATGTCTTCGCTGGTTCAGAGCACTGAGGCAGAAGTTCATCCTCCGGCCCATTTTTCAAGGAAGGAAATGCATACTTAGGCACCTACAGAGTGTCCGCTCTGTTCACCCCGCAACTGGACAAGGTGAGAGGACAGAGCTGGTGAGCAGCAGTCCTTGGGGACCTGCCAAGGTGGCTCTGGCTGACAGAGAGCATTGAGGACAGTGAGCCCCTGCCTAGCCTGTCCTGAGGTCAGGGAAGTTTCCGCAGACAAGTAGCCAAATGTGGACCCAGAGCACTACAGAGAAACATGGAAACACCTAGGTGGAGAGACGGTCAGCTCCACAGCACAGACATGTGGGCAGCTCAACCCAGACTCAGAAAACGCTGGTGGGATAACCTAGAATTAAAAAAAGAAAAAGTAGCAATATGGAACAGCTAGAAGCTATAAATAGTTCAGAAGAGCTAAGCCAGGGCCAGCTGAGACCAGGAGTTTTCTACTATATCCCTAGCACACAAGGAGATGCCAAAAGGTTCTGTCAGCCAAATGCCGAGTTAGAAACACACTGTGGGGGCTGGGGATTTAGCTCAGCGGCATAAGTGCCTGCCTTGCAAGCAGGCAGTCATGAGTTCGATCCCCAGTACCAATAAAAAGGAAAAAGACAAAAAAAAAAAAAAAAGTAACTATTTAAAAAAAAAAAAGAAACAGAAACACACTGTGGGTGAGCAACAGGTTCTGTCAGCCAAATGCCGAGTTACAAACATACTGTGGGTGAGAGGAGACCACTCTGCAAGCCAGACTTCCACCAGTTCTGGTGCCTTAACCCTGGCTTCCGGGACCCTGTAACACCAGCTGGTCTGGACTGGAGTTTAACACTGTTGGGCTCTGACAGGCAAAATGGCAAGAGTGAACAGGAGATCACCCATCATTTTCAGGCTGAACAGGAGATTTAATTCTTCAAATTTCCCTCGGCTGCCTGGTATTCCTGAAGCTCTTTCTGCCACTCTGTAGCAGCGGCAGCAGAGGGCCCTGGCTCCGCCATGATCCTCTGTGATGGTTTCCCTTTCAGAAAGTAGAAACACGCTTTGAAACCGGATCAGTCACAGGCAGAGCACGTGTGGAGAGCTGGGACGAGACAGCGAGCGGCAAAGCTGGCCAGGAAGGCCCAGGGTCCAAGGCAGGGCTGCTGATTCACCTTTCTCAGACCTGGAGCTTGGCGAGCAGACTGGAAAGGAGGAAAGACAAAGCCTAGGACCCTCGATGGGGTGCCTCACCACAGAAGTGGACAGAGAAAGGCTGGTGACTGCTTGGCAGAAGATGACGTATCTGGATATCAACTGCGGCCTAAGTAAGGACGGTACCTACATCTGGTCACAGAAATCACGGGCTACTAGATGGTCTCCCATATGAACGAGGTGGGAATGCGGTGGAAAAGAACCCAGAATGACACACAAGTGTCAGGAAGGGGAAGGGGAGGAGGGTGAGAGGTCAGACAGGCAGATGGAACACCACAGTACCTGCAGTCAAAGGCAGCCAGGGTCAGAGTTTGCTGCAAAAGCTGTCACCCAGGGTACAGAAAGGCAGCAGTGAATCAGCTGCTGGAACTGACACCAGAGCTGGGACCTCAGAGGCACACTCCTACAGATGTGCCAAGGCAGAAGTCTCCCACCATGAGGGTTGAGTGGTAAGGAAAAGTGAACAAGCAGGAAATTTTTTTTAACCAGGTATCAAATTTAGGACCTCACACTTGCCAGGCAGGTGCTGTACCAATGAGCTATATCCCCAGCCCACTTTCTTCACAGGTCTGGTTGTACAGGAGAAAGAAATACTACCAGTGGGAGTGGACAGAGACTTTTAAGGGCTGGAGTCAGGATGCAGTTTAGTCAAAATTTATCATCTGGAGTCACACATTCTGACGTCCGCCATGGGCTTCTCCACTTACTATATAGCCATGCACAAACTACTTCCCACTCAATACTCTGACTCTGACAATGATAAAAATGTAACGATCATCAGGCCAGGTGTGAGGAGTGCACCTGTGATCCCAGCACTCAGAAAGCTGAGGCAGAAGGATTGCCTTTAGTTCAAGACCAACCTGCCCCACACAGTGAATTCAGAGGGCTGCTTAGTTGCAGATATAACTCAGCGGCACAGTGCCTGTCTAGCTAGTGTGAGATCCTGAGTTAGATTTCTGGTACAAAAAAAAAAAAAAAAGAGAGAGAACAAAAAAAGAAAAAAAGCAACCTAATCTACAGCAAGACTCTCTCAAGGGTAAAAAAGTGGGAGAGGCATCACAGAAAAAGAATGGGCTCATGGGGGAGGAGCTGCAGTTGGCGGGGAACACAGAACAGGAGGTGGCAGGGGACGATCGCGAGCTTGGAGAGAGCATCGGGACGCCCGGCGGACGCACTGCCTAGCAGCGCGACCCGCGCGAGCTCTGCAACTCGGGAGCGGCGGCCTCGCGCCTGCGCCTGCGAGCAGGTGGCGGGAGCGCGCGGGCCGCACGTGACGCCCGCCGCTTACCAGCAGGCTGTCCACGTTGATGGGGTCGCGGCAGCGGCGGCGCACAGTCTCCTCCGCCGGGTCCACCAGGAGGCTGGGCAGTCTCCGCGCCGGCCGCTGCTGGCTCATGACGCCGGCCGCCCCGCGCTCCCCGCGTCCCGCGGGCTCTCCCGCCTTCCGCCGCGTCGAGCGCCAGGGCCCGGGTGCGCGGAACGCAGCGGATCCACCCGCGGTCGGCTCGGGGGAGTGCGGGAGCCGCACGGAGAAGCCGCTTCGGCCGTCGCCTCACAAGCCTGAGCGCTCCCGCCGCTGGCGCGAGGGAAACACGGCGACCCGCGGCGCTCAGGTCGCCTGGCCCGCCATCTCCCCGCATGCGCAGTGCCCCCGCGCAAACCTACCCTAGCGCCTTCTGCGCATGGCCGCAGCCCCTTTGCGCACGCGCACCACGCCCACCGTCTCTTCCGCAAGACCCGGAGAGTGGAGTATTCGGAGGGGATGGCGAGGGAAAAAGAAACGTGGAGCGGATATTTAGGGAAGGGAACGTGGCTAGAAACGCAGTGGTGAGAGAGGGAGAAGAGGGGGAGGAGAAATGAGATGAACAAAGAACGAAGTTGTGTTATTTATCTGCACCTGATCAGTGTGGGATATGGGGTATGAAAAATGTTTTTGGATTGGGAACTGAACCCTGGGCCTTTGCGCTGATACACCCCTACACCTTTTTCTTTTATTTTTTGAGACAGCCTGTCCTTAAATCACTACTCCGTCAAGGGGGGGCTCGAATTTTCAATCTTCCTGCCTCAGTCTCCTAGCACTTTTTTAAAAAGTTGAGACAGGGTCTCATTCAGTGATTAAAATGCCTTGGATGCCCTCAAACTTGCAGTCCTCTGCCTCAGCCTCCAGAGTGCTGGGGTGAGAGGTATGTGCCACCACACCAGGCTACGTCAGAGCAGTCTTTCTAAGGCCCAGATATGATCTGATCACCTCTGAAGAACCGGTCAGTGCACTTTTCATCCTGGTCCTTGTTAGGATTTTGCCCCTGTAGTCCAGTCACTACCTGCTACTCTGTCTTCCCAGAACGTGGCCTGCTGCTGGTGGGTAGCGGTTTTGTTCACGCTTGCAGCTCCTTACCACTTTATTCACGTGGTCCACTTGCTGCACTGATCTCTCTGATGTGGCCACACTAAAGCACCCAGAAGGCTGAGGCAGGAGGATCGCTGCGAATTTGACGCCAGCCGGGGCTACGTAGTGAATACAAGGCCAGGCTGAACTACATATCGGAACCTTGTCTCAAAAAAAAGAACCCAACAATGAAAATACACATTCTCTTGCCACACACCGCCTCGGTGACCTCTAGCACAGGCGTTTCCCCTTCGAGGACTCCCCTGCACTATCCACCCCCTAGAGGCGGTCTGGGGCGTCGCTTCCTCCACTGTCCACCAGGGGTCGTCTCTTTCCCAGGAAGCCGCTGCAAGGACAGAAGTCCCGGCGCAGACACATTTTACGCGTTGCAGGGTGCCGCGGACGTGTGCCGCTGGTTTCCAACCTGGAGCTGCCACCTTGGGGCCTGGTTCGCACCTCAAGCCCGAGCTGACGCTACAAAACCAGCTGAACCCTGAGGCTGGGAGCTCAGCGCTCGTCTTCCCAAGCGGACCGCAGTGGAGACAGAGGTGTGCAAGCCTCACCCCGTCCCACGCACAGTGTTCGTGTCCTCGGGCTGCTGCAGCTCCTGGATTCCAGGCCGCCAAGCGCTGCGCCCTGGGCTTCAGTAAGCGGAGTGTGCGGCTGGGTCAGCGCGGCCCACAGAGCTAACGCTTGCCCTCGCGGGTGCGAGCAGGGTTCGAGCCTCGCCCTCTGCTGGGAGAAGCCTTTCCTTACGGGAGGGCTGGGTAACAGTACAGCCTGAGATGCAGTTTACACATTCATTTATTCATTCTTTTCTTTTTCCCCAATTCTGGGAGTTAGACCAAGGGGCTCCGCACTGAGCTGCATCTCCCTCCTTTTTTTTTTTTAAGGATTTTGAAACAGGATGTCACTAAGTCATTAAATTGCTTAGCCTGGGCTCAAACTTGTGATCCGCCTGCCTCAGCCTCCCTGAGTGCTGGAATCACGGGCATTCACGGGCACCCTCACCTGGCTTGGAGATATTTTATGTGAGAGGAGGAACTTTACCCCTCGAGCCTGTTTGATGTGGAAACGAATGTCAGAAAAGTACAACAGGATTGTTAACTGCTTGAGGTACATAGATGGGCGCTTCTAAAGGCCTCCCCACTGCACAGGGCACAGAGCTGCTTCCGCACGGTGTGGGTGGAGGCTCTATAGGTCCCCCTTTGCACACTGCAAGCACCTGCAGTCAGTGTGACTTGGAGCTGGGGATTTAGCTCAGTGGCATACACGCATGCCTAGCAAGTGTAAGTTCCTGAGTTCAATTCCAAGAACCAAAAAAAAGACAGGGAAAAAGCTATTAGTGCAAAGGCAGGAAAGGAAGGAGCGTGTGTGTGTGTATGTGTGTGTGTGTGATAGGATTTGCAAGTACAAATGCACAAGAGAATGCATTGGTATTTGGCTGGAATTGTGTGCAAATATGTAGGCAGAGAAAGAAGAAGGTATGAGAAAGACTCCATGTGTGAGAAACAAGCACAGTGCAAGAAGGACGCATATATTAAGATGTTTTTGTGACACTGCGTGTGAGTGGAAATTTTGGTGCTTGTGGAGAGAAACTTAGGGAGAGACATGGATATAAGTGAGAAAGAGCCACATGTGTGCTTGTGCACACAGGTCAGCACGCATGCCTGTGCATCTGTGAAAGCACCTCAGTGCAGGTGTGCACTGAGGATCCCTGTGCACTGAGGATCCCTGTGCAGGTAGGTGTGTGCAGGAGAAGGCTGCTTGTGTGCCAGTGATGCTGCATTGTGTGAGTCTGCAGGAGGGTTGGGTGCAAGTGCTCAGAATCCTGTCTGACCTGGTAGCCTCTCTGTGACTGGATGGGGTGGGGAGCAGCGGCCCCTCGAAGCTTGCCGGCTGCTCACTGGAGCTTCCTGCCTCACGTTCTCACCTGGGTGCAATGTGGCAACTGTCCAGCAAGCTTGAGGCCTGCAGTTCCCTTCCTGGTACCAGAAAAGAAAAAAGGAAAAGACATGCACAAACACACACACACACACACACACACACACACATGCAAACACACAGGCACAAATAGCCCCTTAAGAAAGAAAACCCTTAGGCAAGCTTGCTTCTTTCCTTTAAGAATCTATCTCGAAATTACTTATTCAAGCTTTGGTTCAAAGTTCAGTAAAGACACAAAGCAAGGGATCAGGTTTGGTTCCAGGAAAACATACATTGCACGGGAAATGGTTCCTCAGCTAGAAGATCACGAAGCACCTTCCCACATGGCCACAATTCTTATAAGCAATTAGTTGAGAGGAGTCTATGCCTTTCTGAGACACATGCTAGGTCTTTGAAAATAGGGCTCAGGGGCAGGGGTTTAGCTCAGAGGCACAAGCCTGCCTGGCAAGTGCAAGGTTTCAAATTCAATCTCAGGTACGAAAACACAAACGCACACACACACACACACACACACACACACACACACACATGCGCGTGCGGGCTCGGCCTCACATCTCCAGTTCCTGAAGAGGCGCACAGGACACCGGGCTAAGAGTTTGCCCTAAGTGTGATGTCATTCCCACTTTGATTCATTCTGCTTCGGAGCCAAATTGTAGTTGTGCCTTTTAATGAAGTAATTTAGAGAATGGCTTCTTTTATAACAGCAGGGGGCCAAATCAACCGAGCCCTGTGAGCCACAGCCACTAAAATCAGCTGCTTGTTTGCTTCTGTTTTTACAGTGCAGGACCTGAATAGGGAGCCCCCTGGCCCCGCCGGTTGCCCCTCCCCCTCCTCCCTGGGGAATGGAACCCAGGGCCTTGAACGTTTCCTGGACCACTGTGCCACATCTGTCTTTCTGTGCTTCTAAAAAGTTACCTTATAGCCAGGCATAGCGTGCATGTGTGTAATCCCAGCGTCCTAGGAAGCCTGTGAGGCTGAAGGAGGAGGATCATAAATTCAAGTCCTGCCTGGGGAGGGCTGGATTTAGCAAGTCTCAAAACAAAATGAAATGAAATGAAATAAAGGGCTGTGGATGTAGCTCTGTTTGAAGGTCCTGAATTCAATCCCTAGGACTGAAAAATTTCATTTTAGGTGTAAGAAGCTGCCCGTAGTGTGGACTGCAGTTTCCTACTTCCGAACGCAAATTTAAAGTACTTCCAAACATAGAAGGAGAAAGATGGAGGTCTGTGGAGATGGCTTCTGGCAACACTTCTGCCTGTTGTGGGTTGGCACCTCCGGGAGGCTGAAGCAGGAAGAACCATGCTCTCATCCTCTCCAGTGGCGCAGACCTTCGCTGGGTCCCCATTGAGGAGGAGCAGGGCCCAGGCCAGCTCCCGACGCTAGTTCTGCTGCCCTTGCTTCTCAAAAACACAGAGGCCTGACTTGTGCTTTTACTGTTTTTCCTGACCTTTGCTTTCTTAAAAAAGACAAGCAGGACATGGTGGTGCCCTCTGGGAAGCTGAGGCAGGAGGATGGCAAGTTCGAGCCCAACCCGGGCCACTTAGGGACTCAGTGAGACCTTGTGTCTAAATAACTGAAGATGAGCTGGGCTTGGAGCTCAATGCCAAGGCCCTGGGTCCAACCCTCAGGAAAAAGGAGAGAAGAGAACTAATTCCACCTCAGGACCCTGGCACCCCGGCCCGGACTCCTGAGCGTCCCTCTCCGCTTCCCTGTGCTCCTGGCCCCCTAGGAGCGCTGTCCTCGCTCTCCCCGGGGTCCCTGCCACCCGGGTGCACCGGCCGCGCTGGAGCCAGACCCGACTTCCCCGCCGGCCTCCGCACCCTCGCGGCTACGGGACCCCGCGCCTTCCTGGCGACACAGCGCCCGGGCCCTCTAAGGACCAGCGTGGACCCTGGGCAGAAGACCCTCCCGGCCGAGCCCCGTGCGGCCCAGAAGACCCGGAGAGCGGAGCGCGGGGCCGGGGTCAGGGGTCGCGCCCTCCCTGCTCCCGATCTCCGGGCTTTGCGCACGCCCCGCGCCGGGCGCAGTGTGCAGGCCGGGCAGCCGGGCGGGCGGCCGAGGACAAAGGGCGCGGGTGAGAGCCGGGGCGGGCGAGGGTGCGCGCGTGGGGCGCCTGGGCGCGCGTGGGTCCGGCTCTGGTGCCGGCGGTCGTGGGAGCCCCGAGGGCGCAGCCGCAGATGGCGCGACGCAGGGAGCGCTGCGGAAAGGGAACCCGAGCGCAGGGGCGCCCACGCTCGGAGGGGCTCGGGGACCCTCGGAACTGAGCCCACGGCGGTCCCGGGAGCAAAGGCTGCTTCCCAGAGGCAGGAGAGGGTGTGTGCGTGC